TCTTAATTGTCGCTTACAGTCAAACACCACGTCTAGACCTGAAATCAACAAGTGGAGGACGGAACAAGTCTAAATTGTCGCTAACAGTTATACACCACGTCTAGACCTGAAATCAACAAGTGGAGGACGGAACAAGTCTTAATTGTCGCTTACAGTCATACACCACATCTATACCTGAAATCAACAAGTGGAGGACGGAACAAGTCTTAATTGTCGCTAACAGTCAAACACCACGTCTAGACCTGAAATCAACAAGTGGAGGACAGAACAAGTCTTAATTGTCGCTAACAGTCAAACACCACGTCTATACCTGAAATCAACAAGTGGAGGACGGAACAAGTCTTAATTGTCGCTTACAGTCATACACCACATCTATACCTGAAATCAACAAGTGGAGGACGGAACAAGTCTTAATTGTCGCTTACAGTCATACACCACATCTATACCTGAAATCAACAAGTGGAGGACGGAACAAGTCTTAATTGTCGCTTACAGTCATACACCACATCTATACCTGAAATCAACAAGTGGAGGACGGAACAAGTCTTAATTGTCGCTTACAGTCATACACCACATCTATACCTGAAATCAACAAGTGGAGGACGGAACAAGTCTTAATTGTCGCTTACAGTCATACACCACATCTATACCTGAAATCAACAAGTGGAGGACGGAACAAGTCTTAATTGTCGCTTACAGTCATACACCACATCTATACCTGAAATCAACAAGTGGAGGACGGAACAAGTCTTAATTGTCGCTTACAGTCATACACCACATCTATACCTGAAATCAACAAGTGGAGGACGGAACAAGTCTTAATTGTCGCTTACAGTCATACACCACATCTATACCTGAAATCAACAAGTGGAGGACGGAACAAGTCTTAATTGTCGCTTACAGTCAAACACCACGTCTAGACCTGAAATCAACAAGTGGAGGACAGAACAAGTCTAAATTGTCGCTAACAGTCAAACACCACGTCTAGACCTGAAATCAACAAGTGGAGGACAGAACAAGTCTTAATTGTCGCTAACAGTCAAACACCACGTCTATACCTGAAATCAACAAGTGGAGGACGGAACAAGTCTTAATTGTCGCTTACAGTCATACACCACATCTATACCTGAAATCAACAAGTGGAGGACGGAACAAGTCTTAATTGTCGCTTACAGTCATACACCACGTCTAGACCTGAAATCAACAAGTGGAGGACGGAACAAGTCTTAATTGTCGTTTACTGTTTGTTTTCATAAAATCTGTTTTACCAAAATTTATTTATTTGAATATGTTACAAATATGTCTCCTTTTCTTTAACAGAGATAATGACTCTTAAGTAATTGCAAAGTTTTGGAAAAGTCTTCTTATCAAGAGAACTTACTATACTTTAGAAACCCTAGTCATATCCTTTTTTCAAAAACAGTTTTTTTCACCATAAAGAGGTCCCCTTGGCCTGTAACCTAACCTTATAAACCAAAAGTTAACAAGAGGCCCAGAAGGCCTGTTTCGTTCACCTTTTTGTTTTGTTACATGAAACTGACATATAGGTAACTTCAGACCAACTTTGGGAACTAGAACACAAGACATTTTAACATCTCTTAAACACTTCTCAAGATATTGTTGTTTGAAATTTGAAATTGTAATTTTAAAGCTTTTAACCCACAATGACCTTTGACTCCAGATAGCACTTAAAGTAGACATTTGACCTTGTTACTGTAGTTAAGAAAAAGATTTGCACTGCTGTTCTACATAACATACCCAAGTATCATGACTCTAAACCAAATGCTTCTTAGGATATCGTCGTTTGATTTTTTTTTACATTTTTTGACTCCTGCGACCTTGAAAGTAGGTCAAGGTCATTTTAATGAGGAAACTTTATAGCACCCCAACCCAGGTACCTACTGGCCAAATAGTATGACCCTGGGCCTTATGGAACTTGAGAAGAAGATTGTTAAAGCTTTTCACCAATGTTGACATTTGACCCCCGACTAGCACTTAAAGTTGACATTTGACCTCATTACTGTAATAAAGAAAAAGATTTGCACTGCTGATCTTCATAACATACTTAAGTATCATGAATCTAGTCCGAATGGTTCTTAGGATATTGTTGTTTGAAGTTTTTAACATATTTGACACCTATGACCTTGAAAGAAGGTCAAGGTCATTTTAAAGAGGTACTTTAAAGCACTCCATCCCAGGTACCTACTGGCCAAATATCATGACCCTAGGTCCTCCAGTTCTTCAGAAGAAGTCGTTTAAAAGAAAAAGATGACGGATGGCCGATGGCCGCCGGCCGCGCAGTACGGCATAAGCTCACATGGCCCTTCGAGGCCAGGTGAGCTAATAATGAAAAAAATCCTTCCATCCAGTGATGGTGGTATTAATATAGTCCATTAACAAAATTCCTAAACACCCCATCAGAATTACAATGACAAAGTCTCATCAATACCATAAAGGAAGGTTTATTACGGCCTTAATACCAATGTGATTACTGCGACAGAACAGTGCCCCCTGATCATGGCCCATTTAATGTCCGCCATCAACAGAATTACCCGACTGCGTGTCAGCAACGCTGTACTCAAAGGAAAGAAAGATGCCTACAAGTCTATACAAAAGGCCCGATGAGCCTACTTTGCTCACCTGTTGTTCAATGCTGATGGACAACACGTCTCACATTTGTGACCTTCGAGGGGGGGGGTCAAGGTCAAATATATTCAAAAGTTGATAGTAAGAAAGCTACCACTAAAGACTAAATATCATTTATGCCAGAGGCATTATGTGATTAATCTACACCTTATGGATGTTTGCTGAAATATGTCAACTTATTTTACTTAATATGTGATCATCAAAATTAGTAAAAGTCATTTATCTCAACAAACTTTAACAAGTTGTTTGTAAGTTTTTTAATCCTTTAATCCTGCAACATTAGAAGTATGTCAAGGTCATTCACCTGAGATAACTTGATGGACGGTAATCATCCTCACAAGCCTCAGGCAAAGAATCAGGACTATGGATCTTAAGGCGTTGTTAAGAATTGTTGCCAGAAGGGCGCTGGATGCTACACTTTCTGAATTAAAAAAGCCCCAACATGTTTGTCCAACCACAAACAAACCTAAAATATACTGAAAATGATGTTATCACAAACATTTCTTCATTAAGCATTAAACAGCATTAAAATGTAGTGTCCTCAAAAACTGACCATCCTTAGAATATGTCAGATAAAACCTTATTTGGTCCTGTAAAAAAATCTCAACAACTTTGGTTAGACATTAGACAAAGAGGAAGACAACATCATAATTTATTTTTTGTTCCTGTAAAACCTTAATCAACTTCGTGTAAACTGAAAACTCTCCTTGTATTTTTTATCCCTTATTCCATATTGAACAATAGTTTGTAAATGGTGTCACTGGTTAACCGAGCAACACTCAGCCCTGGTAACCTAAGTGAGTTGTAAAACTAATCAAATCTCACTTTGCAGTTCAAAAGAGGCATCATCGAACCACTGCTCTGATCATTTACCCAAAGATTTCAACATGTTCATACAATAGTTTTGTAGCATTATGCTTCTATTTAATAAAAAAAAACATTTTCTTGAAGCAATCATTATTTCTAATTAAAAATACTTGGTTCGTATTTTATCCTTACTTTCCACATAAGAACTATCTTTTTCATCCTTACTTTCCCATTAAACTACCTATTTGAACAAGAAAGTGCTTAGAATATTAGCTGATTCATTGAATATACAACAAAAATCTACTGGAACCAGGAACAACACAGCCATGTTAAATGTGTGGACCTGGGACAAGCATGGGGGAGGTGGATGTTTTTTCATCAACTACTTTACTTATAGGTGTGATCCAAACTACACCAAGCTATCTTACTGGTGTGATCCAAACTCTACCCAGCTATCTTACTGGTGTGATCCTAACTCTACCCAGCTATCTTACTTGTGTGATCCAATCTTTACCCAGTTATCTTACTGGTGTGATCCAAACTCTACCCAGCTATCTTACTGGTGTGATCTATCTCTACCCAGCTATCTTACTGGTGTGATCCAAACTACACCCAGCTATCTTACTGGTGTGATCCAAACTACACCATGCTATCTTACTAGTGTGATCCTAACTCTACCCAGCTATCTTACTGGTGTGATCTATCTCTACCCAGCTATCTTACTGGTGTGATCTATCTCTACCCAGCTATCGTACTGGTGGGATCCAAACTACACCCAGCTATCTTACTGGTGTGATCCTACCTCTACCCAGCTATCTTACTGGTGTGATCCAACCTCCCCCCAGCTATCTTACTGGTGTGATCCTAACTCTTCCCAGCTATCTTACTGGTGTGATCCAAACTCTGCCCATCTATCTTACTGGTGTGATCCTAACTCTACCCAGCTATGTTACTGGTGTGATCTATCTCTACCCAGCTATCTTACTGGTGTGATCTATCTCTACCCAGCTATCGTACTGGTGGGATCCAAACTACACCCAGCTATCTTACTGGTGTGATCCAAACTCTTCCCAGCTATCTTACTGGTGTGATCCAAACTCTCCCCAGCAATCTTACTGATGTGATCCAAACTACACCCAGCTATCTTACTGGTGTGATCCTACCTCTACCCAGCTATCTTACTGGTGTGATCCAAACTACACCAAGCTATCTTACTGGTGTGATCCTAACTCTACCCAGCTGTCTTACTGGTGTGATCCAAACTACACCCAGCTATTTTACTGGTGTGATCCAAACTCTACCCATCTATCTTACTGGTGTGATCTATCTCTACCCAGCTATCGTACTGGTGGGATCCAAACTACACCCAGCTATCTTACTGGTGTGATCCTAACTCTACCGAGCTATCTTACTGGGGTGATCCAAACTCTACCCAGCTATCTTACTGGTTTTATCCTAACTCTACCCAGCTATCTTACTGGTGTGATCCAAACTCTACCCAGCTATCTGGATATCCCTAACAGCCTTCAACAAAACCTGACAATTACCTGTTGTAGCGTTTCAGTTTCTGTAGACGAGAGTCGGTGCTGCCCTTGCTGACTGGCAGGCTCTCCAGGTTCGCCATTAGCAGATTGATGGCCGATTTGAGTTCGTCAACGTACATACTCTCCATCTCCTTCACGACAAACTTGGGGTGCTTCCTCAACTGTAGGCAGAAAATGGGAAAATAATGTAAGTCTGTTGATGGTTGTTTCCTGGATTTAAAATGAATAAAGGTCAAAAGCTTGTGTGTCTATTCTTCTCATTTTTTTCTTTCTTCATTTTTTCATTTTTTTATGTAACGAACTTCACTTTGTTCAGTTCTTTCTGCTAATAATTTACAGAAATTTGAGAGATCAATGTTGTTGTTATTATTATTATGCAACATTTGATATAGTATTCCCAATAAGCTAAAATACGCCAATCTACTGAACTTAAGTTCAAGATGTGGTCAGGTTGCCATTTTGGGTTTTTATAATAATTAAAGTTCTTATTTTCATATAAATTTTCATTATGAAATATTCTACCTTCTGACGAGATCTCACATAAATTATCTCCCTTGGCTGTTACTTGTGTTTGTGTATGCACACAAGAACGCATGTTTTATAATAATATGGTGTCGCTATTTTACATGTCAAGGATATACTTTGTGTAGGTTCATTTTTTTTTCATTTTCTAAGGTGTTTGTTGATAAAATCCTCTCTCATTGGTAAGCTCTTTATCCAGGTAAACAGTACAGGTGTGTGTTCTGACAATGTTATATAACACTGATAGCTATACGTATGGATTTAAGTGCATATCGTTAACAGTTAAGAAACATTGTTTACAAATATATTCAAGAAGTTTTCAATAAGAAAGCAGTCATGTATAACAGTTAATGTCAATCTGCTTTCATAACAGTTTCAGATGGTAGGTTTATTCAAAGGCCTAGTACAACCCAAATGGACATATATATATAGATTTGTCTGCTCTGTCGGTTTTACTTCTTTGCTTATATATCTATTTAAGTGATACACATCCAACAAACATGTGTTGGCTACTGTTCCCAAAGTCGTTGTACACATGGAATATTCAGAGCGAGTGTTTTTCTCCTGCCCACACAACTCTTACAACCCAAATGGAGTATAAAATGGTCCGGGGTGGATGTTGCGGTATCTGTGCTGAAGCATTCAAGTGAGGTGGCACTATAAATGATGCTGTTGGAAGCACGGTCCCACTACAAACAGAACACATTACATCTCCGGCACACACTCAGGCATACACACATAGGGAAGTATACGACAGGTGGCATAGGACTAGTAGTTAGCGCCTGATAAGGCAGCTCCTGTGAATTCCTCAAAAATTGTATTGATTAATGTATATGCTAATTGCATTAATTGTATATCTATGTACTGTAAAACACTCTAGATTGGCTTATATCAGCTAGATAGAGCACTATATCAAATGTTGTATATATATACAGTATTCACGACAGGAGGCACAACACATCTCAATATTATAGATTGATCTTGCTAGCTAACGGTCAATAATTCCAACTAATGCCTAAAAGTAGCCTGCAGTGTACAAAACATAGACCCTCTATACCTAGTCCCTTCATATAGATTGTCAGCATTTGGTATTGAATTTTCTTCCAACTTTTCACAAGTAAAGTGTACTTTCTAAAACTGTTGGTCCATCAATCTTCAGTCCATGTAATATTTACATCAGACAACAAGGAAACTAAGCGTTACCTAGATCGGCTGTTCCATCATCTGTGAAGAGACGGCCGAAGCCAGCAATCTGAGGAAGTCCGGCTATGATATAGGGACATTGACATATAGCAGGGGGTACCGTAGACATGTAATACCATAGCTGTCTAGACAGGCCGAAGGCTTTTGTTACCATTACGACACCACATGACAGGGTTTAGACCATGGAATACAATATCTTCTCATATCACCCCACTTGACATCTGATCTACCGCACTATAAAACACATGCAAAGCCTCCAATTTTCACAAGAGAGATCCTATCACAAAGATGTATGTTCAATGTCCGATAGGATCCTGTGCCCAATGCCACAGTATCAGTGACCTTCCGCTGGTCACAAGCTAGAGTGCATTTGTCTCCAAGATATCTATGGAGAAAAATATTTCAGAAAGTCTATGAAAGAGAGCTCATTTTTTTATGTCCTAAACTCAATGGAAGTGATGCCTTTCTTGTATGTCCTAAACTCAACGAAAGTGAGGTTGTTCTCATATGTCCTAAACTCAATGGAAGTGAAGTTGTTTGTGTATGTTCTAAACTCAACGGAAGAGAGGTTATTCTTGTATGTCCTAAACTCAATGGAAGAGAGGTCATTTGTGTATGTCCTAAACCCTGCAGGTAGGGCATAAGAATTGTACCTGCTGCCCCCAATTGCATGATCGTAAGAGGCGACTAAATTTGGGACCTTATCTCTTCTCTCCTTTCTAAATAACTTTCTTCTTCCTAATGTCTCCCTTGACAATGCCTCACTTTTGGCCATTTGTTGAGCGTTCGCCCCTGTGAGGAAGGCTTTGGGTTCTGTCCCCTGGCCGAGACATACCAAAGTCTTTAAAAATGGTAGTTTCTACTCCTGCTTAACGCTCAGCAAATTAGGAGTGGGACGACTGGTTCGCCCGTTGTCAGTATAATGTGACCGGGTGGGGCGTCCTGCTGGGTGTCTTCGGCAGTATGTTTCAGTGGGGTAGCACTATAAAGTCGGCATCAGTTCCGCGCTATCACAAGGAGACAAACACGAACATATCGCAGCCTCCCAAAATACACACACATACACTACACGCATGCATCTTGCACACAGGGGAGGCCGTCCTTAAACGACCTTAGCTGTTAATAGGACGTTAAACAAAATCAAACAAACAAACAAACAAACAAACAAAAAATGTCCTAAACTCAATATAGGTGAAGTAATTCGTGTATGTCTTAAAATCAATATAGGTGAAGTAATTTGTGTATGTCTTAAAATCAATATAGGTGAAGTAATTCGTGTATGTCTTAAAATCAATAAAGGTAAAGTAATTCGTGTATGTCCTACACTCAATGGAAGTGAGCTAGGTTATTTTGTATGCCCTAAACTCAATAAAGAAGTAAGGTCATTACTCATAAAAAACTTTTGATTGTGTGATAAAAACAGTCCTAAAATTTGCTTACATTTGGAATGATATTGTAAAGTTATTGAGTTACAAGAGGCTACTTAAAGTGATTTTTTTTTTTTTGAATTATTTCATTAACATCATGTACAATGATATACACAAATTTATGATCAACAAGTTCTTAAAATTGTACATTTAGAACGAGCAAAAATTGGAGAGAGAAAAATTGCAAGTCATACACTTGTGGAAAATGAGATATGTTGTATATAGAGTGTTAATAGATTGTTGCTGATATCCCCCATCTGGTGCTGTATCACCTGAGCCAGCTGGTCACCTGGAGCTAACTGTAGCTGGGCAATGGGCAGTGAAGCGTGCACAGCGGTCAATTCTATCATCCTTATATATAATTCAGTGTATTGGAGAGATTGTCAGTATTCTCACTTCGTCCCTTTCCATAGCTGATTTTTTTCTCTCTACAATAGTGAATTACCACGTACTTTTGTGAAGTAAAGATATTTTCAATAAAGATCTTTATCTAGCGCATTAATGTTCATGATGCGTTATCATGTGTAGATTCCTGTTTTCAGTAATCCGAACACATATTTCTGCAGATACCTTATAACTACTGTATAGTTATTTAATTTTTTGGGGGCTAAGATTTTACAGTTTACCTAATCACTGCATGTGTTTACCTAGACTGCATAACTGTATTGGTGTTTCAATGTCATAAATCGCTAAACCTTTGTGGAAATTCATTTCAGTGATGGTGTCTTATTTCCCCAGATTTGAACTTGAGTGAAATTAAAAAAGATAAATACATATATATCTGTTGATTAAATGTTGTGAATGAAGATGCATGAAATATTTTAATTCATGAATTACTATTGATTGGAATTAACAGGAAAAATATATAAATTATTTACAATGCCATGCCAGTCATCCCAGGAGGCCTCTGATTAGCTAGTTATCTCCCCTTAAACGTCTTAATTAGAATTATCACTAATTAATAATTCATAACATCATTGCCATTACCAATACATGCCTTCTGGTGTACATTTTTAAATATGTCACCATTAGATCCTACATCCCAGTACATATTACAAAAAGAAATCTAGTTTTTTTAGAACTTTTTACATTTGACATTGTTCTAAATAGAAACTCATGGCATCTTCCTTTTTACACAAACTGAAAATATGGCATTTTTTCTCATTAGAGTTTGAAGGTGGAGTCAGTGAAGTAAGTTTTAGATGTTTGTTTTATTTTGCCACACAAATCTTCCCCTTTCAAAGTTGTATTAATCAGGGATGTACATGTCTGTTAGAGGTACTGGAACCCTGGCCTACTGCGGAATTCTATAGCATGTCACTCCTGTGTTGTTCACTGAACTATGACCTCATCAAACTCCCCTCTGAAAATCTGTATCTACCCAGGCCCCGTTTAGATTGCGACTTTGATTGCTGCAACTTAGCATGTATCAGCCTCCCAATTGGCATCTCGCAAACCAGTAAATGTGGAAAAAACAAAACTGACACAAGTTAAACCAAATCATTTAAAATCATCAAAATCAGGGATCAATCCAATCTATGTATAATACAGATGTACATCCCAGAAAATATCATAGACAACAATAGCTGTGATATCACAGATTACATTACCAGTGGGTAATTTGTTTTCATACCAATTTTCACATTTGACCATGTGTTAATGAAGGCATTGTTGTAGGTGCTCCGTTCCCTAACTCGGTATCAAGAGAATCAACATACTATCAAGATACCTCTAGTAAGCTTCATAATGACCATAGCTGTTAATAGGAAGTAAAATACCAACAAACCAAACCAATTGTATCCCCTAATATAAGTCCTAATGCCCTAACAGACAGTGCCAACTCTTGGATCAAAGATTCATGTCCGTATAAGGATGTTTATACCATTAATATTAACACTAGCTATCCAGTCATCCGCTCTGGTCAATAACTGACTAGATTGACCAATGGTCAGTGGGGACATACACTGACAACCACCTGTTACGTTACCAATTAAATCTCACACGTGTCAGTGACATCACAGACAGTAGTACAGCCCTAGGGCATATCATGTAACAAATCAAGACAATCAGACACAGAGGTCAATTAAAAGTACAACTAAAAGTCAATTAAAAGGACAACTAATTTATTTTACAACAATTGTGAAACAAGTTATATCAACTTCTATTAATCAGTCTAAATGTTGGCCGGTGTGTTAGCATGTAGGGGGTCTTAATGTGGGAGGAGACTCAATTACCCAGAGAAAACCCTCTACTTTTTCACGTCCGATTACGGAAATGAACCCCAGCCGTCTTGATGACAGCGAGTGCACTTTCCATTGCGCCACCCAACCACACTATACCTGCCACATCTTCCCACCTGAAATGAATATATTTGTTAAATCTTTCAACAAAATAAATTACAGGTCAATGTTCATGTTTTGACAGTTGTTATTACAAATGTACTATTCTGGCATCAGAAGTAAGTGAGCCCCGCATCTTATTGACTCCTTGTACTTTTTAAAGGTCTCCCTGTAAATCTGTTCCTTGTTTATATTTTGCTCCAATTTTATCTATTTTGTGCTCAAAGAATGGTTTTATTGACAGTTTGAACTATTGTTTTTATAACACTTCTGTATATTTTTAGCTATTGTATTCTTTTGGTGATTGTGATATATAGATGGTAGGCGTGTGAAAATGTGTTGTAATGAAGAGGTGAAAGTGTTCGGAATGATTGGTTTGTTTCGGATTTTATTTGTTTAACGTGCCTCCATGCATGTTATGCTTGTGTGTATGTGTGCATATATGTATGTGTGCAGGAGACAGGGTATGTTGGTGTGCTTGCCTCCTTGTGGTAGGGCAGATCTGATGCTGACTTTACAGTGCTATTTCACTGAAATACCATGCCGAAGGCACCATGCACAGCATCCTGTCTGGTCACATTATACTGACAACAGGTGAACCAGTTGTTGCTATTTCCCTAAATGCTGAACGTTAAGCAGGGAATAACAAATACCATTTTTGGTATGTCACGGGCCTGGGGACAGAACCCATGGCCTACCTCACCTGGGTGAACGCATGTGACAGAAACTCTAGTATCTATTGTGACTTAATTTTAAATGTTAGCTGTATATACGTACCCTTGACATCTGCTCCACCTGGTGGAGTCTCCCATCCAGTTCTCTCCGTACCTGGGATGCTTGTTCATCTGCACTGTCCAGCTGTAACAAAACACATTAGACTTTATAACATATCAAAATCTTCTATGAATCAAAGGTGAAATAGACATTGAAAATGAAACATTTGATTAAAATCATTGATAGGAAAGTTTTCTTTTTCCCCCAAAGTTAAAATCCCTGTGTTGACTTCACTGACGTTTTGAAATTAAAAAAATCCTTTATTATGGCACCGATCATTAAATATTCCAACCCAAATTAAGCTTTAGAAGGATATGCATTACCAGCAATTATTTATCTCACACATGATTTTAAATGCGTCAAGGTCGATTAAAATTTCACGTTCGGAAGGGATTGGGTCAGGAAAAGAATGGAAATAAGGCCTAGAAAAGTTCTTAAGTACAACATTTGCATTGTGGTCAATGTATTGTGAGATTGGTAGAGAAAACTGAATCCTGTCTGTGTAACACACTAATTTGTATTGAGATACAATATGGTGTACATATATCAACAATGAATGTTACAGGAGCAAAAGGCCAACAGGGCCTGTATTGCTCCCCTGGATGTAATAGCTATTCACAGCAAAATATATTCGTTAAAACTAACTTTGTAAACCCACAATTTGGACTTCACCTCTCAGCATCCATGGTATTGAAGGATAAAAGATGTTATTATCTTTTTGACAATTTTAGTCATTGTTGACGTTTTGACACTCAACAATATATTTTAGAACAAGATGCCCAGCAGGCTTTCCAGTCATGGCTCACCTGGCATTTTATTTATTTTCTTTTTGTGACCACTTCGGACCAGGTGAGCTAAAAACATTACCATAGCATACACATGTATCAAGACCCTAGATTTTTCAATTCTTAAGATGAAGCCAATAAGAAAAAGTTGGGGGACAGACTCCACACCATATTATCAGCTTAAACATCCTATGTTAATTAAGTAGCTGTCTAAGGAATAGGCTAGAAACCAATTATGAACACCATGCCAAAAAGATACTAATATTTCAAGCCTTTTTATGAACCCTATTCATTCATATTTCAGGAAACACTTGCCACAACCTTGTCTACGACACTACAGAGACCAGTGTATAGAAACGAGGTGAGTGCTGTTTATTGTAAGTACTGTACGTGAAGCCCCCAGATCAGTGGGTCATTGCTGGATAGATCTGTCTACACAAACAGACAGCTCCTGTAGAATGTCCGTCTCCTTATCTTTATGTACCAAAACAGAAATGAAAGGAAATTTGTATCTACATTTGATTAAGACACCAGCATTTATTGTTCTGGCTTTCTTCCACATATGATGCAGGCTTTTGCCTATTTATATTTATATATATATCAATGGGGCGGATCCCATTGGAATTAACTGGGAAGCATCTCTTCCCCATTTTTCTGAACATGTGCACTTTTCCCTGAACATAAGAGACCATTTCCTTTGAAGTTCCTCTTGATGCCAATATCAGTTTAGAGGAGCATTCCCTGATGGACGCAAGGATGCTGCACTATTGCGGGACCTTCACTGGCCTCCCAGGTCAGATGGTCTGAATATGTGGCAGAACGAAAGTTCTTCATGATACAATACAAGTTTTCACGATTCAATGAGTCTGGATCCGGAGGATTCCAATTAACCATGTGATGTTTACTATTACAGTATATATCCACAAGAAAAAGGAATATGATTAAAAAAGCTACATCAAACAGCAAAGAAACACAGAGGTATCAAGACTAGTTTATAATATCTGAATAAAGTATGAATGGTGGTGAAGGAAAATAGCCAAGAGTTGAGACACGCATTGATGGGTAAAGAAACAGGGAGGGGGTCAGGAAAGTTCTCATGGACAGGGATTTTCCAGGACCAACAAGGAAATTGGTAAAGAGGAGCTTCCAGGAAGGGGCAAGGAAACAAGGAGAGGGTTCAATCATGGAAGGGCAAGGGAACAAAGATAGAAGCCATTCATGGAAGGGCAAGAAAACAAGGAAAGAGGCCATTCATGGAAGGGCAAGGGAACCAGGAGAGAGGCCATTCATGGAAGGGCAAGAAAACAAGGAGAGAGGCCATTCATGGAAGGGCAAGGGAACCAGGAGAGAGGCCATTCATGGAAGGGCAAGGGAACAAGGAGAGAGGTCATTCATGGAATAGCAAGAAAACTGGGAAATTAGTTGATTGATGAAAGGAAAAGAAACTAAGTCAGAGGGAGAGTCAAGTAGAAAATAATAAAAGAGAATCTCCAAAATGCTTGATATGGTTTATCAATAGACTCCTAATCAACCTCACTTAACGGATAAATAAAATGGATGTGTTACCATCATCCTACTATGAAAATTAATCGTCTTCAAGATATGGCTAACAACTAGCATAAAACCGGGTATTGATGTTGGTTGATAAAATAGATACTGCAACACCCAGATTTGTGTGTTACACAAGCAATCATGAACAACACACATCAAACAGAGCTTCAGCTGGTCCTACACCATTCTGTTGTTTTTTGCCAGGACCACGTCGATAACTAAAGAGAAGCAATGACATAAAACTAACGAAAAAGACGTTTAATACTGATACTGTAGCGTTATATTGCATGACTTGGTGAAATCACAATAAAACCAGCCAATCAATACTAAGCATATGGACAGAAATCACTTCCTCCAGCGTCTAGTTATTTTAAGATGAACCAGACACGTATCATGACTTATTCATTAAACCTTAATCTATAAAACCTACCAAATATGATTGATGTATGCAAAATTAAGAGATTCTGTATGTACATCTGGAATTTTTAACAAGTTCCGCTGATCGTGATTTCCTTCGTTTTGGTATCCCTGCCCTTTTGTGGATTGACAAATGCATGATTGATGGGAAGATGGCGTGAGATGGGATATGTGGTGCAGTAATGGCATCACCATGGTGATGAATAAAGCAAACTTAACATTCTTCTAAAACCCTATATCCGAGTCTAATGCATCTCCAATCCCACCGCCATACAAAATACATTTCTCCATCTCGCTACAATAAATATTTTTACATTTCAAAATAAACCTTTTTAAACGGCAACTTCTCTCGTTACAAACATTGCATCGTAATTCTTTTGGGTCGTAAAGAGAATATGGTTCTTGCATCGACCCATTGGTCAAGTCGTCAAAGCGAAATTGATATGATCGAACAATTGCAGAACTTAAGACATACAAATTTATGACTTTTTTAAGACATACAAATTTATGTCTTTTTTACCAGTTGCTCAATTTATACATTAACAGGAATTAAGTAAACAGCATCCAACACCCCAGGGAGATACATCACTGATAGTAAAGGCTTTACATCTGTATTCAATACCACAATATAAGTTTTATTATATATACACAATAACACTCCTATTTTTATTTTCCTTCATTATTTTCCATTACTTACATGAACATCAATATTCCCCCATCTCCGTAAGCTCTTCCACCTCTTGTTTTTATATTTAACTCTACATTCTATTTCTTAAATCGTGACACCCACTATTACTAAAAATTTCTACCCTTCCCACTTATACACAGACACTTTCAGCCCCAAACCGGATCATAAAACTCCTCTCACTTACACCAAGGACACTGTTGACATTTTACCCTCACCCCACTCCTTATCTGTCCTATTTACACTGATGATACTTTCACCCCTACCCTAAACACTACACCCCCTCCCAATCACCTGTAATTTAAGAATTAAATCTGTACACTCCCCCAACACTCAGCCATCAGCTGTGTTTAACCGCTCACTCGAGATTTGTCACAGAGAGTGATACAGTGACATTTATAGGGCAAAGCCTTCAGGATGACAAAAGGCTTTCATCAATACACTTATTAGCACACCTAGCCTTATCGTTTCGTTGTGGTTTCCGTAATAGTAGATAATGCTCTCTACCATAGTTGTCATTGCTGCCACACAAACTCTTACACCTACTACCCATTATTTGTCAGGAGACAAGCTGATCCAATTGTCAATTACAGTTAAACCAATGATCACTTACAATGAAACTCAAGATCACTTACAAATAAACTCACGATCACTTACAGATAAACCCATGATCATTAACAGATAAACCCATGATCACTTAGAGATAAACCCATGATCATTAACAGATAAACCCATGATCGATCCTTACAGATAAACTCACGATCACTTACAGGTAAACCCATGATGGTCACTTACAGATAAATCCATGATCACTTACAGATTAACCCATGATCACTTAGAGAAAAATCAATGATCACTTACAGATAAACCCATGATCATTAACAGATAAATCCATGATCACTTACAGATAAATCCATGATCACTTAGAGATAAATCCATGATCACTTACAGATAAACCCATGGTCATTAACAGATAAACCCATGATCACTTACAGATAAACCCATGATCTTTTACCGATAAACCCATGATCTTTTACCGATAAACCCACAATTTCTTTCAGTTAAACGATCGATATTTAGAGTGAAACCCACGATGACTTACAGTGAAATCCACTTTCTTAAATCACAGTGAAACTTATAATCACAGTGAAATACCTTCTTCCATACTCGCAGTATTCATAGGGACTAACCAATAATTGACTCTATTTATTTATTTTTACTCACCAACAGCAGGAAATGGAAAAATAAACTCAACTCTAAACAGCACCACGCATATGTATTGTATGTGTAAAAGATAATGAATGAATTCAAGGATAAGTTTCTTGGGAGGAAAAAATACATTTATTTACATAATACTTTGGCCATTTCCTGTGAATCTATCATCTTCAGGGTAGTTGGTGCATAGGGACATGTAATCCTTTCTTGTGTCCCTAATCCCCACCCTCAGTGCTTTTGTGTTTTGTCATCTCTTCTTCAAAATGTATATGCATATTCATGCCGGAGCTTGTCCTAATGATACCATCACCATGCCCATACATTGACAGACGATCCTATCTAGAATTTTCCTTTGCATGTATAAATTATATATACTTCACCAGTTCTGGAAATGACACCATCCCCTACATTTTCTACAGATGACAGGCCAC